CACGATCTTTCGAATTTCATCCATAGTGTTTGTGTATTTTTAAAGGGACTTTTATGAGGTTAAGATGCTTTTGGGTATTCTCAAATAATTGGGAATTTCTCAGGCCAGCTAAAGTTTAGATGCTAAACAGATATTTTGACAACGGTAGGGTTATTTTGCTAACGAAGCTTTTTAAAGAGTTAAACATCAAAAACTTGTTCATGCAACTTTCTGTAAACTTACAATTTGTGTAGCGTATAAAATACAAAATTCCCCGAAAAAATCCTTAAGAAAATGATGTAATTCTCTTTAAGCATTTCATAACTTTAGTCAATCCAATACATAATGCCTGAAACGCTTAAACCATTAAAATAGCGCCAAAATTATCTAGTTGCACTCCACACACATTTCAACATCATCAACATGTTGTAAACCATACGTTTTAAGCTTCAACTAACAACCAAACTTCAAGCAAAACTAAACTTTGCCTGATCTTAACATTTTTAATCGAACCATAAAACTTGGTTAAGAGACACGAACGACTAAAAATCAAACTTAAAGTCGCATTAAATTAAAAAATTACTCTACAACGTAAGCAGCATAAGAAAAATTAAAAAAAAAAAACTTTTTTTAACATTAAAGCCAACTAAAGGGAAAAGAAGTTAAATGCAAAAAAAATTGAGTCAAAATTAGCATTTTATATGAAGTTGTAGACAAACAAAAAAAATCAAAGTAAACTGAAGGAAAAACAAAAGCGCGCTAACATTGAGACATGAACTTGTTCCATCGCTATTTAACTTAAACCATGTACTAAACTAAATAGTTAGTACGAGTACATTATCGGTTGAAGTGCTAGAGTTGTATGCTGGTTGGTTGGTGCTAGTTGGTCTAACCACCAGCATAAAGCAGCAAACATACCAAACACCATACCAAGCCTAACCAACCCAAAACAGGCAAGCCAATGAAGCCAAACTGAGACACAATGGGTCGATGAGTAGCAATGTTTTGCTACTCATTTTGGATTACTACTAGTCGATTATTTAAGTATTAGCGTCCATGTGCCGAGATAAGGTCAACAATATTTCAATCAAGTATTAAGACGATTTTGACAAAAACGAACTTTTACTTAATTCTCTTAGTATCTTCATTAGGAATTTCCTGTGGATACAGAAAAGTTGTCCACGGCATATCAAGGAAACGCAGAAAATCAGAAGCAAGTTGAGACCTATTATCTATACTATTATTTCAGTTATGTTTAATTATATTTCCTAATAGAAATTACAGAAACTGATAAGATCCAGTTGTCATATTTAACCCAGAGACTAAAGTATACATTTCTAAAGACGAATTGAGCACCACTGAATCCTAATCTGGTCATCCTTTCTATAAAAGTCAACTAATTAAATTCCATTAAACCTGCTTTAGCTCTATTATAACGTTTTAAATATTGTCAAAACGGTGCTTTTTAAAGCTTTATGACACAATGTTTTGAAAATCAGATGTGTATGTATAATTTGGCCCCTAGCATTCGGCTAATCAACATGCAGACTGACGGGCATATCAAGATAAGTTGGGTCTACGATGTGTTATATATGTATGGACAAAATTATGAACTGATAACCCTTTTTCAAAATAAACAATTGAACAATTTTTAGACTTCCTTCCCGATTTAGAATCAAAATTACTGGCGCTTCGAATATGACTCATTCTGGCTATACGAACAAAATCGCAAACATTGACTCGATCCTGTGCAAGGCAAATGTGATGAAATTAATCCACGAAATTTACACTGATGACTTTAAAAGTTTTTGGTTTCTGGTTTCCAAACCTAACCTATCGAGTATTCACAATTGATATACTGATATCTACTGACTGTCAAGCTACCCTAAGGTCTATCAATGATGTTTATACAACATCAAACATGTTTCTTGATATAGCGAAACATTCCGCAGTGACACCAAAAGCTCACTATTAACAACGGATTGTGAGCTTACCACGTTTGATAACTTATAGGTAACGGATGTGTATAATATTTAGATTGCAACAACGAATTGTTGCAATGTTGACAACGTTGTGTTGTTAACATTACATAGTGTTGTCGTATATATCAATGAATATACTTGACAACGGATGTTATTGAAAAATTTGGTGTCAATTTGGTACCAGGCGTGTATATTTTTTCCCCTCTGTGTTCCACAAAACGATTTGTGCAGATACTTTTAAGATAAAGATGAAGGTGTTAGTGCTCACTTCTCAGCTTTAGAGTAATATGACTTTGATACTCTATTTGGTGACTTTTTGTACGGACTTATTTGAGGTATATAATTTGCAAAAATTGAGGCTACTCCGCACTTGTGTGTACAGAGTACTTCTCAAAGGACTTGGGCTGGTTCAATACTAATCCAAATATATGGAAAAACATATTCCATTTAACATTGTGATATCCATCAGAATAATCCCAAAATTACTCGCTTGTTAAAGTTATGGGAGCTTATGTTGTTTAAAAGAGGTAGGTAAACATGATCGATGCCAGCACTACATAAGACGGATCATGTACTCCAATAATTTTTATAGGGGACCAGTTTGTGGATTACCTAAATAGATCATGTTATCCAATAATTTTTGCTGGATATCCGAAGTATAAATTCAATTTTATTCGTGAAACAAACTAGTTTGATGAGGACTCAAATCAATTTTATATTCTTCTTACAGGCATCACAAAGAGGCCAATACTTATGATGGACCCTAGTATGTCCATTAGAGGAGACAACATTAAATGAACGAAATCATATCGAATTGTAATACGGTTAAAATTGGTATACAATTCGCCTGCTTGTTTCTTTAAACTTAGTTCTAAAACTTTATAGGAAGGTACACATTAAGTGCACGATATAAAAAAATTATCGAAACGAAATATTGAACTATATAAAAAGTTTCTGAAGTATTTTTCATAAGATGTAATTAAAAACATTACTTCAGAGAAAATTGAAAACTTATTTTGGCCTGATCTTACAAATCGAAGTAATCGAAATAAGGGCTTTAATGAGGACTTGGCCCATTTATACACCGAACTGTGTTGAGTTTTAATATATTTTAAACTGTAGGCATTTTTAAAGATTTAATGTTTTTTCTGAAGGAGATCTTATATCGGTGCATAAAATGGAACGATTCTAGTAAAATTTTGGTGCCTATAAAACATGCAATTTAAGCCAGTTATAATGTTGAAAGACTAAGATCAAATACCGTGGTTGTTTAAATTGTCTGCCGGGGAACTACTTGTATGTAATTAATCGAAATAGTGAACCGATATCTTCTAGATCTTGATCATCTTTCACTTTAGAAGGAACTACGATATGTAATTATACTCTACACCATTATAGTGAGGAGGCTATTATGCGTTTGTGATTATGTTTGTAACACCCAAAAATATTGGTCCTACGCCCACCTTAAAGTATACCAATCGGCACGGAATCGCTTTTGACTCAGAAAGAATCACTTTGTGAGTCGAGTTAGCCATGTAAACCTTGTGCACATGCTACAGGTCGCAATTTTCAAGATAATTTGATGAAAGTTGGTATATACTCTTCTTTTGACCCAAGCCTATTGAAAATGGTTAAAATCTGTCCATTATTTCGCATAGCCCCCATACAACCGTACTCACCTAAGATGGCTTTTGAGTTCATAAATATGTTAAATGATCTTGTATCAATCCAAAAATCGGCAAAACTTAGTTTTATATAAGTCTTAATGATACTGCTGATTTTCGTAACGATAGGTCCTCATTCACTATGTAAAGTCACCTTCAAAAATGACTTGATGGTCAAAATTCACTTATAAACACTAATATCACGATGATATTCTGCATAAATAACTTTAATGTAGACGTAAATCCCTCTATTAAAATTTATAAAGTTAAGTCCATATAAAGCCCCTGCCCCCATATACCCCTCTTTTAGAAAATGCCTTTTTTTGTCAACAAATTGTTAAAATATTTCTGAATTAAGGTAAAAATGAAATTAAATGCTTTATTATTTACAAAAAAAAAAAAAAAAAAAAATAATAATAATCAACATTTGTAACATAATCATACCCTACACCAGGTATCATATGGTCGTCCATTCCCGACTATAATTTTTACTTGTTTTTACATGCCAATAATGAAAATAAGAAACGGATAAACTTTGTAAGTATGTACACAGAGGGAAAAGGAAATATACACGCCTGTTAACAAATTGACACCAAAGAGTTTATAATTTTTCAATAACATCCGTGGTCAAAGTATATACAACACTATGTAATGTTGACAACGCAACATTACCAACATTGCAACAATTCGTTGTCGAATACGAAATTTTATATACATCCGTTGTCTAAATGTTAACAAATGTGGTAAGCTCACTATTGGCAACGGATTGTTTGTCAATAGTGAGTTTACCACGTTTGTTAACATTTAGACAACGGATGTGTATAAAATTTAGATTTCGACAACGAATTGTTGCAATATTGTCAACATTATATAGTTGTCGTACATATGTATATACTTTGACAACGGATGGTATTGGAAAATTATTAACAGTTTGGTGTCAATTTGGTATCAGGCGTGTATATTTCTTTTTCCCTCTGTGTATGTATGTTTTAATTAATAACAGCCCATAGTGCAACGGCTTAAATTCTTAACTCTGGTTATATTTGCGCTCTTTTATTCCTTTAGTAGTTTGTTGGCGTACAAAAAAAAAACAACAACTGAAAAAGGTGACTAAAAAATTCAGTGTGATGTCGAACGTAAATGGATTTTTTTTTTGAAATATGTTGGGTTTGGTTGGTTTGTTGAGGGACGGACAGACAGACAGACTAACTTAAGCTGTGGTTGTTGTAGCTGATACTTTTTTTTTAAATATTGTTTAGTTACGGTTTGACTTTTGGCTGCATTAACGTTTTAAGTTGCTTAATACTTTTTATATATATAGTTTTTTTTTTAAACATTTTATTTACTACAGCTCACAGACAACACAACTGGGCAGAGCTAACGAACGACAGCAGCGGCAAAATTTTTGAAAAAAAAAAGAAACAAAACACATTAAAACACACACTAAGCGACAAAATATACAAAAACACAAACGGGTCGTTTTAGTGTGTTTAGTTAATTTAGTTTAGTTAGTGGCGAGATTTCAAGCGTTAAACTTGTGTGAATTTGGTTTTTCGTGAAATTGAGAGTTAGAGAAAATTAACTGAATAGTTGAAAATTAAAAGAAATTACTTTAACTTTAACAACTTGTTTGTTAAAATAAAAAAAATTATTATTTAAAAGGTTTGCACCATTAAAAAAAAAGTTTTTGTGCTAAAAAAATCCTTAAACTTTAGTATTTTTCTTTTTTTTTTTGTTTAAATTTTGGGGGGTTTTTAATAAAAACAACAAATAGCTTATAGTTATTTATTGTAATAACAATAACAAAAACATTATTTGTTGGTTAAACATTCAGCTCAGACACTAAACTTTAAAGTTTCGTTAACAATTTTTGTTGAAAAACTGAGAGCGAAATTTTTATGTTTGTTTTTGTTTGGCTTGAAAATCCACAAAAATTATATGAAATTTTATTTGATTGAAAAAGAAAAGTTTAAAGCAGAGAAACAAAAAAAAAAAAGAGTTTGTAAATAAAATACAGAAAAAAAATTATTTACAAAAAAAGACATGCAGTGAATTTTTAAAATTATTAAGTGTTAAATTCCATTACAACAAACACAACATTTAAACAAAAATTTGAAAAAAAAGTTAAAAGTAAAATAAATATTTTCTTTTCGTATGAATAATCTATGAATATTTTAAATTTATCCAAAAAATAAAAAAAAAACAAAATTACCAAATGAATTAAACGAACGTTTCAATACATATAATTTTTGAAAATAGTTTAAAATAAAAAGTAATAAAAATTAAATTAATTTACAAAAAATAAAACGAAAAAAAAAAACAACAAATTTCGAGTTTATTAAATCGTTATTTTCAATTTGTTTGTGGTTACCAAGTGAAACGTTAAATTTGTTCAAAACAACAATAACACAACCAACTAATTGTTTATGGCTTTCTTTCTATTTAACTAAAATAAAAATAAAGTTTTCCTTTTGGTTACCAAACAAAATCTCTTTTTTTTTTCTAAATCTACAACAACAAGTTCATTTAAATAAATTAACAACAAAAAAATAAAATTGTGTCAATTTTTATTTTATTTTCTATATGTGTTTTAATTTCAGTCATAAAATTTAAATTTCAAAAAAAAGTGAAAAAAAAATTGAAAGTAAATTTATTTTATACGTTTTCCAAAATTATCATCATTATCACCGTTGTTACTTTTCAAATCGTGTGTAATTGAGATCTGCGCTACCGTATGTAGCTAACGCTTTGATTGTGTTGAAAACCAAAAAAAATACAAAGATAAAAATAAATAAAATTTTCAAAAAAAAAAAAGCGTTAAGAAAGTGTTAAATTACAGCCGGCTTTTGCGGTATATTGTAGCTGAACAAAAACAAAAGTTGTGCCTGTTATTGATATTTCTATTCAAAGGTAAGAAAACATTTTTTTTTTTATACAAATAAATAGAAAATTGATACTTGTAATATTTATTAGGTGGAAATATTAACAACTATTTATTTAGAGAAATATTATGAAATTATTGTTATTAGTCACAAATAAACTTAATTTTCCAAGGAAATGAAGTAGTTTTTCAACTGTTAATAGCGTGAAAACAGTTTAAACATTAAACCAGTAAGAGTATATGTTCGAGTCTTTCGAATCATCCAGATTCGACAGGTTAATGTTATTTTCGAAAGAAGAGCTTTTATTAGAACTTGGGTCAATTGCATAGACCTAAAAATCTGAAACAAGTAAGTAGTCTATATTCGCCTTTGCTGAATCTTATACATATATCCTTCACCAGGTCTTCAGAAAACTGATTTCAACAGACAGACTGACGGACAGACAGACAGATAGACAGACAGACTGATAGACAGACAGACTGATAGATAGACAGACAGACGGACAGAATGACATGGCTTAATAGACTTCGCTATCTATAAGGATTCAATATACATATATATACTTTATAGGGTCGGATAATTATATTTTGGAAATTACAAACGGAATGACAAACTTATATACCCCAGAGACCAAGTCAAACCCCAGAGACCAAGTTATATATTTTTAAAGGCATTTCTCCATTCTATCAGGTTTTTGAGATATCGTGTCATACATCAGAAGGTCCAACATGTCTACTTTAAACCTTTATTAAACTTTGTTATATCTTCTTATTTCTTTAAAATAACCTTAAGCAACGCTTAAAAAATTCTAAATTGTTTTTATTTTACCGCAAAAACTTCAACCGTTGCGATATCTCTTAAAGTCGACAGAATGATCTTTCAAATGAAATAACTAATTATATAAAGAAAGATATCTTCGCGCTGTTGTATCACATCAAATATAGAATACGATGTTTTGAAAAATTTATGTGATGGAGAAATTCTAAGGCCAGATTCCAATTTAGCTCAGCTTGATCTTTTCGAAGAATATACTTTGATCTCTGGGTTTAAAAATTTTGACCTGTGTTCTGGACCGAGTTTTTCAGATTTCGAGAGAGATAAATTTTTGAATTACGTTTAAAACCTTGATTGACAATAAAATGATTTTTCGTAAGAGGCATTATTGGAGATATTGGTACAGAGATTTTGGTAAATAAAACTACTTGATTCCTTATTAGGATCTACCACCAACCAATATTTCAATGTTTTACAAACGGAATGAAAGAGAATATATTTAATGGTGATTATGAACAAGAGTGAATCTCTCATAGTCCTCCCAATAGCAGTAGTGTTTTCCTAACTGAAATAATTTCAATATTTGCTTTCAATATCCGTAGTAATATAGCCGTGCCGAGCACACGTCTAATATTAAACTCTTTTACCATCACTTCTCTATTGACCAGACAATGTTGGAATGATTTGTCAAAGTTGGGTCGACTCTCTGTAATTACTCTGTCCGCATAAACACAACTATATAAATGAACAGGAAGATAAGCTATATTAATATCCACATTCCACAAATCAGTATCCAATATCATGAATCCGGCTTATGTATGACATGAACGTTACCTTGTCTCTGCAGTATCAACTCATTCTTCCCCACAGTCCGAAAACTTCAGCCGAGGAGTCAATTGATACCTCCAGTATGAGATCCAGGATAACCCGAGGTATTGGTAGCAATTGGATTAGAATAACACTAAGGTGAGGAACCTGGACCCGGAGAGCATAAGTAGGATATAGATTATAACGAAGCAGATTTAGCTTTGTCCACCCGTATGTAAATTGCAGTAAATTATCTGGAGACCTCAGATATCTTCAACATCTGAATATTGATTATTAATATTAGATATGCTTCGAGAATCGGTGCACAGATAATGGGTATATACATAAGCAAAAATTTTAGAAAAAACTCAATTATTAACGTTAAAGTCATTTCCAGAAGGCGATCTTGTAGAGACAATAATCAATTATGGACCGATCATTACGAAAAACAGCATTATGATTTTTAGAAGTATTCTTTTGAAAAAGATACAAGCTCAAGGGTCCAGTTCTATGGGGTCTAAGTAAAATAATTGAACGATTTCAACCAAAATAGGGTTGACCTAAGTCCAAAAGAATTACGTGCATCAAATTTTCATCGAATTATCTTGATCTGATCGAAGGCCGGATAATTATTTGATTTTTAGTGTGTGTGTCTTTCAGTATGTCTGGAAAAACTAGAGGGTATCTTTTGTTTTGGAATTTCAATAATACGAGATGCCACGCCCGTATACTATTAAACGTCGCATATCTCAGAAACAGTGACAACTAGAGTTCTAATATTTTGCATGGTCAACTTCGACATCCATATGAATGTTTGACGTTTAGCTATAGTGGGCGGTCACCGCCCACATAAAGAAAATATTAAATTAGTATATCTGAGAAAATAAAACAGTAAGAGTCCTCAAATTCCGTCGGAGCAACTTTAATATCAATTTGAATATTTAAGATAAAACTGGGCGTACAAGCACTAGTGGGTGTGGCTTGCTTCTATATGAACCTTCTATATATGTATCTAAAAAACTATTAAAGCTAAAATCTTCAAATTTTTTACGAACAACTTTGAAATTATAATGAACTTTTAGGAATAAACTGCACGTATTAGCAATAGGGGGCATGGCACCTCCTATATAAATTAAGTAAAAATCGTATATCTAAGAAACTATTCAAGCTAGAATCCTCAAATTTTGCATGAATAACTTTGACATCCAACGTTTGAGTAATACGTTGGCGGATACAAAAATAAGGGGCGTGGCATCTCTCATTAGAATTAAATACAAAAACTCGTATATCTGGGAAACCGTTAGAGATGGAATCCTTAAATTTTGCAAGAGCAACATTAGAAAAAAATGAGTGAACTTACAATAATGGGCGTTGCACCTCCCATATGAGTTAAATACTAAAGGCAATATAAAATTTGTAAGCGTTTTTATGGTTTTAAGGGTAGCGAAGTATTTTGGGTATAGCTAGTAAACTATAAAAATAGTGAGGATCAAATAGATACATATTTTTGTTATATTTTGATGATTAATTAGGTTCAACTAAAGAAAGAAAGAAAAGGGCTGAAATTAAATTTTGATCCAGTTCAAATTTGATCAAGAATAAAGTAAAGCCTTTTCAAAAGCTTTGTTGCTGAGTGAGTGCAGTTGTTTATTTAATTTGTTTTAGAAATATTTAATAATACTAAAACTATATTAATTAACATAATATTGTTAATCAGTGCTAAATATTTATCCATAAAATATTAATAATACTATTTATGGCAAATTTTAAGCAATTGTGGGAATTAAACTCCCACTAAAAATTTTTAACAAAACTTATTCTAATTAAAAATAAAAATTCTTATAAATATTTTGACATTATTGAACATTTGATTATAATTAATTATTAAATAATGTTAAAAAAAAACTACTTTAAATTTAATAACACTTTTTTTTCTTTTTTGTTAATTTTTCAAATGTTCAATAACTTTTAATAACGTCCGTCATATGACGTTTTGGGCATATGAGTGATAACAAACGTGTGTTAATTTTTATTATTCATATTTTTTTTTATTTTATTAATTTATTTAATATTCTGGGCAAATCTATAATATTTATTATTAAATATAAAAAAAAGTAATTGGTTGGGTAAAGACCTCTTAAAATGGGTTTGGTTTTGATTATGGTGTGTGTAGTTGTAGTTGTTGTCTAGTACTTGATTCATGGATTCGTACTTGTTCATGACTCTGAAGTCGGTTGGTTTGTCGGTGAGTCAGTTAGTGTTTGACTGTCAGAATAACTATTGATTCAAAGTTCCTTTAAAGTTTCTTTTTTTTTTATCTGTTTTAGTCTTTCTATGATTTGCTTCCATGTATTGCGTGTGTTCGCTCGTTTGTTGGTTCGGTCATTGATTTGTTGTCTTGAACATAAAAACAGACTTCAATTACTATTATAAAATATTGTTTTTTAATTATAATTTATAAGAATTTTTATGTAAGCATAACTATTTTTTTTCTATGAATTTCGCAATAATAATAATATAAAAAAATACTTTCAGTTCATTAACTTTAGCTTTAGTCTTGAAGTTGAAAACAATTTTTAGAGGCTTTAGATTATAGTTTATTTCCGTGCAGCTATACGATTTGTTAAAAGAATGACTTTGCTTAGAACTAGTCACCGTAATAGCTGCGTTTCTTTAGCTTTAGCAAATATGGGTGTGAGAAACGTATTAGGTCATGTAAACTTTTACAGAGAAAAACCTTAAACTTTTTCTATTACCACAATTACTACATAATTCGCACATACCTTCATATACATACATACATAGTTACTATATAAATATTTAAATATAAAAACCCTCCTATAAACGTAGATTATTTCAATTAACTGTCTAAAAAAAAGTCTTACCTAACAATTTTTTTTACTACTTTATTGCCATTATTTTTGACTCATTTAAATTAATAAAAGTAAAATTACCTCTATTATACATAATTATTATGAATGAATTTTTTGTTTATTTTAATTTCTTCTATTTTATTACACTTTTTACTTTTTTTCTGTTATCAACCACTTCTTTTTCGTTTTGTCGTCTTTTTTTCAGTTTCATAAAATATTTTTAATAATTTTTGCCATATTTTCCATATACAACACATATTTTCAGTTTTTAATTTTGGTTATAGTTTATTTGTTGTTGTTTTGTAATAAAAAACAAAAGTTTATCATTTTGCAAAGGTAGTAACTATGGTGAGCATTAAAATTTGTTAGAAATAGAAAAAAAAAAAATAATAAAAAAAAAATTTATAAATTTTTGTTAACAAGTTTTTGTTGTCCTAAACAAATATTTTGGGGAAATCACATTTTTAAGCTTTTTTGCCTTTAAAAAAATAATAGGGTTCACATTTAGATTAAAAAACACTTTGTCGTACCGTATCAATAGACTAGACTATAGACTAAACTGTAGACTAGACGATAGACTAGACTATAGAATAGACTAAAGACTAGCCTATAGACAAGATTATAGACTATATTATAGAATAGACTGTAATAGGCAATAGACTAGACTATTGACTAGACGATAGACTAGACAACAGACTAGACAATAGACTAGCCTATAGACTAGATTATAGAATATACTATAATAGACTAGCTTATAGACTAGACTATAAACTAGACTAGACTATAGACCAGACTATAGACTAGACTATAGACTAGTGTATAGGCTAGACTATAGACTAGACTATAGACTAGACTATAGACTAGACTATAGACTAGACTATAGACTAGACTGTAGACTAGACTGTAGACTAGACTATAGACTAGACTATAGACCAAACTATAGACTAGACTACAGACTAGACTATAGACTAGACTACAGACTGGACTATTGACTAGACGATAGACTAGCCTATAGACTAGATTATAGAATAGACTGTATTGACTAGACGGTAGACTATACGACAGACTAGCCTATAGACCAGATTATAGACTAGATTATAGAATATACTATAATAGACAATAGACAAGACTATAGACTAGACTATATACTGGGCTATAGCCTAGACTATAGACTAGACTATATACTAAACTATAAACTAGATAATAGACTAGACTGTAGACCAGACTATAGGCTAGATTATAGACTAGACTAGGCTATAGACTAGACTATAGAGTAGGCTATAGACTAGACTATAGACTAGGCTATAGACTAGACTATAGACTAGGCTATAGACTAGACTATAGACTAGGCTATAGACTAAACTATACTATAGACTAGAGTATAGACTAGACTATACTATATACTCTTGACTAGACTACAGACTAGGCTATTGACTAGACGATAGACTAGACTATAGACTAGACTATAGACTGGACTATAGCCTAGATTATAGACTGGACTATAGCCTAGACTATAGACTGGACTATAGCCTAGACTATAGACTGGACTATAGCCTAGACTATAGACTATATACTAGACTATAGACCAGAACATAGATTAGACTATGGACTAGTTTATAGACTAGACTATAGACTAGGCTATAGACCAGAACATAGATTAGACTATGGACTAGTTTATAGACTAGACTATAGACTAGGCTATAGACTAGACTATAGAGTGGGCTATAGATTAGACTACAGACTAGACCATAGACTAGACTATAGACTAGATTATTAACTAGACCTTAGACTAAGCCATAGAATAGACTATAGGCTAAGCTATAGACTAGACTATAGACTAGACTATAGATGAGACTATAGATGAGACTATAGACTAGACTATAGACTAGGTTATAGACTAGACTATAGACTAGACTATAGACTAGACTATAGACTAGACTATAGATGAGACTATAGACTAGACTATAGACTAGACTATAGACTAGACTATAGACCAGACTATAGACTAGACTATAGACTAGACTATAGACTAGACTATAGACTAGACTATAGACTAGACTATAGACTAGACTATAGACTAGACTATAGACTAGACTATAGACTAGACTATAGACTAGACTATAGACTAGACTATAGACTAGACTATAGACTAGACTATAGACTAGACTATAGACTAGACTATAGACTAGACTATAGACTAGACTATAGACTAGACTATAGACTAAACTATAGACTAAACTATAGACTAGACTATAGACTAGACTATAGACTAGACTATAGACTAGACTATAGACTAGACTATAGACTAGACTATAGACTAGACTATAGACTAGACTAAGACTAGACTATAGACTAGACTATAGACTAGACTATAGACTAGACTATAGACTAGACTATAGACTAGACTATAGACTAGACTATAGACTAGACTATAGACTAGACTAGACTATAGACTAGACTATAGACTAGACTATAGACTAGACTATAGACTAGACTATAGACTAGACTATAGACTAGACTATAGACTAGACTATAGACTAGACTATAGACTAGACTATAGACTAGACTATAGACTAGACTATAGACTAGACTATAGACTAGACTATAGACTAGACTATAGACTAGACTATAGACTAGACTATAGACTAGAATATAGACCAGACTATAGACTAGACTATAGACTAGACTATAGACTAGAATATAGACCAGACTATAGACTAGACTATAGACTAGACTATAGACTAGACTATAGACTAGACTATAGACTAGACTATAGACTAGACTATAGACTAGACTATAGACTAGACTATAGACTAGACTATAGACTAGACTATAGACTAGACTATAGACTAGACTATAGACTAGACTATAGACTAGACTATAGACTAGACTATAGACTAGACTATAGACTAGACTATAGACTAGACTATAGACTAGACTATAGACTAGACTATAGACTAGACTATAGACTAGACTATAGACTAGACTATAGACTAGACTATAGACTAGACTATAGACTAGACTATAGACTAGACTATAGACTAGACTATAGACTAGACTATAGACTAGACTATAGACTAGACTATAGACTAGAATATAGACTATAGACTAGACTATAGACTAGACTATAGACTATATAGACTATAGATATATAGACTAGTCCATAGGCTAGATTATAAACTAGACTATAGACTAGATTATAGATTTCAAATTCAATCACCACCCTAAGGAACATCGTCCATTGACAGTAAATGACGAATTCTGTGTAGGCGAAAAATAGGTGTTTAGGTCAAATAACCCTTTCACGTATACGGGACACCGGTGTCCCAAGATTTTTTTCTAATTTTTCTCGATTTTGAGCGTAATTTTAACTTCACAGCTGAAGTAAAAGTTATTGCCAGAGAAAAATAAGTATTTTTTTTAGAATTTGATGTCACTACATGCTAAAAAGGATTATATCCTGCGATATCCTTCGAAAACACTTTTTCATCAAAAGTGATCAATATACGTCAAAACAATGTGTGTGGTGAATTCATATCCGTAAAAAGTCCAGCGGTTTAGTTTTGTGCGTGAAAGGGATAACCCCAAGGAATCGTTTCACTCGAAAGCACATTCTTAACCGGGGATTGCAATAGGATAAAAGTAATATAAGATTTCTCTAAAGTAACATTGTCCCTGGGGTAATAGAAATCTTTCTGACAGTATACATGTTGAAGTCAATTTTCTGAAGACGATATCTCCGTTACCAAAACCTTGAATATTTTTATTAGATATGTTATCGAGAAAATCGCTATTTAAAATCAGTAAAATTATCAAAATTCTGACAAAACCTAGAAATTTTATAATATATCGGATGATATTTTCCATATAAATAAAGATATTGAAAAAATCTTTCACTCAGTGAGTCCGGGGTGGTTTTGATTCATGCCAGAGACTATTTTACAATTCTAAAATACAATTTAAATTGATTAATTTGAACAAAAATCATGATTCATATTAATTAAATTTAATTATTTTGTATACATGTATTTAGTTAGTATAAAGTATTTTAGTATATTTTTCATTCAACATGAATCGCATTAATGATTTTTTTTACAAACGAACAATCAACCAACCCATCTAATTAACTTCGAATCTTTTCTTCTCTATATATGCTATATTGTTTGAATTTAAGGTACAATCACATTGAACAAATATTTGACAACATAATAATTTGTCAGCACGTTTTTGTATTATGTTTGCCAAATATTTGAACAATGTGAACCAACCTTTTTACTCTTATTGTAAAACAATAAAATTTAAAAATTATTTTAATTTGATGTTTTTTTTTTTGTAATTTTTACTTACATGTTTGTTATTTTAAATGATATGTATATTTTGCAGTTGTTGTTGTGTTTTTTGTTGCTGCAGTTGTTTGTTGTATGAATTGATTTTAATCGTTGATATGTACTGTACTCTGGTAATTCGCAATTGAGTGTAATTAAAGAAGCGTGCAACAAGTGAAAATCAGTTGAAAATATATAAAAATTATCTTTCTTTTCGTATTTGTATTTTCTGTTCATCTGTTCATCTGTAAAGATAAATAAAAAATAAATGTAATTAATTTTTAAGAGATTTCTGTTTTTTCAATTCGATACGAAAAAAAACATTTAATTATTTAATTGTTTGATTTATTATCTTATGCAATTTAATATACAATTACCAATAAATTGCATAAATTAATGGAGAATTTTATTTTTGGAAGAAAGATAAATTTACGAGAAACTAAAAAATATCAGAAATGGGTTATAGTGGCTACAAATTTTATGTAAGATTTGAAGTAGACCAGTAATCTTTTTTGCACAAATGGAAAGGAGGATAAAAGTAAAATGCATACATTTTTAAAAAAGTTTAATTTGTATTTAATTCCTTATTGTAAATAAACTAAGAAAAATCAATTACATACATACTAGACTATAGACCTGACTATAGAATAGATTAAATTCTAGAGATTATAAGGCTATACTAGACATAGTAGACTTATAAAAACTAAAACTAACTAGGATTATACTATAGAATAAGACCATAGTAGTAGACTAGACTATAAGCTAGACTCAGACTAGACTAAAGACTAGACTATAGTCTAGACTATAGTCTATGAGAAAGACTATAGACCTAGACTGTAGACTAGACTGTAGACTAGACTATAGACAGACTAGACTAGTAGACTAGACTATAGACTAGACTATAGACTAGACTATAGACTAGACCATAGACTAGACTATAGACTAAACTATAGACTAGACTATATAGACTAGACTATAGACTAGACTATAGACTAGACTATAGACTAGACTATAGACTAGACTATAGACTAGACTATAGACTAGACTATAGACTAGACTAGACTAGACTATAGACTAGACTATAGACTAGACTATAGACTAGACTATAGACTAGACTATAGACTAGACTATAGACTAGACTATAGACTAGACTATAGACTAGACTATAGACTAGACTATAGACTAGACTATAGACTAGACTATAGACTAGACTATAGACTAGACTATAGACTAGACTATAGACTAGACTATAGACTAGACTATAGACTAGACTATAGACTAGACTATAGACTAGACTATAGACTAGACTAGACTAGACTATAGACTAGACTATAGACTAGACTATAGACTAGACTATAGACTAGACTATAGACTAGACTATAGACTAGACTATAGACTAGACTATAGACTATAGACTAGACTATAGACTAGACTATAGACTAGACTATAGACTAGACTATAGACTAGACTATAGACTAGACTATAGACTAGACTATAGACTAGTCTATAGAGTAGGCTAGACTATAGACTAGACTATAGACTAGACTATAGACTAGACTATAGACTAGACTATAGACTAGACTATAGACTAGACTATCGACTAGACTATAGACTAGACTATAGACTAGACTATAGACTAGACTATAGACTAGACTATAGACTAGACTATAGACTAGACTATAGACTAGACTATAGACTAGACTATAGACTAGACTATAGACTAGACTATAGATTAAACTATAGACTAATTATAGACTAGACCACAGTCTAGACTATATACTATCGACTAGACTAGAGACTAGACTGTAGACTAGACAATAGATTAGACTAAAGAATAGACTATAGTCTAGACTATAGACTAGGACTATAGATTAGACTGCTAAGACTAGACTATAGACTAGACTATAGACTAGACTATAGACTAGACTATAGATGACTAGACTAATAGACTAGACTATAGACTAGACCTAATAGACTATAGACTAATAGACTAGACTATAGACTAGACTATAGACTAGACTATAGACTAGACTATAGACTAGACTATAGACTATAGACTAGACTATAGACTAGACTATAGACTAGACTATAGACTAGACTATAGACTAGACTATAGACTAGACTATAGACTAGACTATAGACTAGACTATAGACTAGACTATAGACTAGACTATAGACTAGACTATAGACTAGACTATAGACTAGACTATAGACTAGACTATAGACTAGACTATAGACTAGACTATAGACTAGACTATAGACTAGACTATAGACTAGACTATAGACTAGACTATAGACTAGACTATAGACTAGACTATAGACTAGACTATAGACTAGACTATAGACTAGACTATAGACTAGACTATAGACTAGACTATAGACTAGACTATAGACTAGACTATAGACTAGACTATAGACTAGACTATAGACTAGACTATAGACTAGACTATAGACTAGACTATAGACTAGACTATAGACTAGACTATAGACTAGACTATAGACTAGACTATAGACTAGACTATAGACTAGACTATAGACTAGACTATAGACTAGACTATAGACTAGACTATAGACTAGACTATAGACTAGACTATAGACTAGACTATAGACTAGACTATAGACTAGACTATAGACTAGACTATAGACTAGACTATAGACTAGACTATAGACTAGACTATAGACTAGACTATAGACTAGACTATAGACTAGACTATAGACTAGACTATAGACTAGACTATCTAGACTATAGACTAGACTATACTAGACTATAGACTAGACTATAGACGAGACTATAGACGAGACTATAGACTAGACTATAGACTAGACTATAGACTAGACTATAGACTAGACTATAGACTAGACTATAGACTAGACTATAGACTAGACTATAGACTAGACTATAGACTAGACTATAGACTAGACTATAGACTAGACTATAGACTAGACTATAGACTAGACTATAGACTAGACTATAGACTAGACTAGACTAGACTATAGACTAGACTATAGACTAGACTATAGACTAGACTATAGACTAGACTATAGACTAGACTATAGACTAGACTATAGACTAGACTATAAACTAGACTATAGACTAGACTATAGACTAGACTATAGACTAGACTACAGACTAGACTATAGACTAGACTATAGACTAGACTATAGACTAGACTATAGACTAGACTATAGACTAGACTATAGACTAGACTATAGACTAGACTATAGACTAGACTATAGACTAGACTATAGACTAGACTATAGACTAGACTATAGACTAGACTATAGACTAGACTATAGACTAGACTATAGACTAGACTATAGACTAGACTATAGACTAGACTATAGACTAGACTATAGACTAGACTATAGACTATACTGTATATCTATAGCCCATCTATAGACTAGACTACAGGATAGACAATAGACTAGACTATAGACTAGTATTAGTAGTTGAAAGCCCATTCAAGTGCAATGGAACTGGCATCAATATACTCGATTAATTTTACTCTCATTTAAAGTGTTCTCTTGCAGCCTATCACTGATTGAAGTGATCAACACAACAGCAACCTATCTCAACTGTTATTCAGTTAAAACTTTTAAATGTTAGTTTTCAATTATTTTAATTTTTTCTTACAAATTTTCAACAATCCAAGTTAAAATGCAAAAATCGTTTAAAAACCTTAATCCAAAACTCGTGTCTACATTAAACTATTTCTTTTTTTTGTTGGTGTTATTATTAAACACACAAACCAAGTTAAATACATGTACTCATTCATATATTCAACCTAATGAAAAGAAATGAAGTTTGAAATAACGAAAAAAAATTGTTTGAATGAAGCTTCATTAAATATTCAAAACGTTTAACGTAGACCAAAAAAAAAAAAAAAAAACATAAACATTTTTATTTATTAAAACAATTCAAATATCTATTTTAATGATTTGCATTTTTTTCATCAACAAAATTAAACCAAATAAAGAAGTTATAAATATTTTAAAAGTTTTTTTTTAACCTAAACTAACAGCAGTTGTAGTATTACAAGTATTTTAAAAATTATAGTAGGCCTTTTTTTAAGTAACTTTATATATAAATTTAACATAATTTTTAAATAAATTAATTAAAATGCCATTTAGTGTCATTTTTAATTTTTTGGAATTTTATATTTTTTATCTTTAAATACAAATTTAAATGTCACATTTAACATCTTTAACGTCTTGAGCATTGTACCCTGTTTTAAAACTTTAGCACTTACTTAAATTCTTTTTTTACACAAATTTAAAGTTTATTAAATTTGTATTTTTGTATTTAAATTTTTTATTTATGGTTTTCATATTAATTTTTAATTCTTAATAATTCTTTTTTTATTATAATTTTTCTTTATCTTTTTTTCCACTTATTTTATTGTTGGGTATTCATTCTTTGGGTTTTGAGTGTTTGATTTTTTTTAAGAATTTCTCAAGGGTCATTATAACAGGTCTCTTAAGTCAATTTTTAAAGGTTTTTTTCTTTGTCTTTTTTTCTTTGTAAGAAAAAATAAAACAATACAAATAAAAATAAATCATACAATATTGAGGGGTATTGTATTTTTTTGTTTATCGGGTTGTTTCAATAATAAATAAAAGACTTAATTCTTTTTTGGAATTAATTAGTCTAAATTACAAAAATTTAAGAAATGAGTGTCTTTGTAGACGACTGTTTAGCTGAATAAAGGTGTTAATTTTAAAGTTGAGGTTAAAGTTTCATTAAATGTTTTTATTGTTTAAATTTTATATACAACTTTTACAAAGGTTCTCGTCTAGGGACCTTTCTATAGACTATTCCATATTCAGTCAATTGGCTAGTCGGTTGACTAATATATTGACTGGTCGGCTGATTAGTCTTGGGACTATTCTTGTAGTAAGTCAATTGAATTGACAACTGACTAATCTGCTGACTACTCTATTGACTACTGGTTACTAGTTTTCCTGCTAGTCGACTGAATAGTCTATTGACAAGTCGAATGATTGGTCTACTGACTAGTTGACTGACTACTGGATTGACTAGTTTACCGACTAGTCGACTGAATAATCTACTGACAAGTCGAATGATTGGTCTACTGACTAGTTGAATGACTAGTCAGCTGACTAGTCTACTGACTAGGCTACTCTACTAACTAGGCTAGGCTGACTAGGCTACTCTACTAACAAGGCTACTGACTACTCTAGTGACTAATCTACTCATTTGTCTACTGACTAATCTACTGA